TAGTCAGATCCATGCTGGAATAGACGATAATCACCTTTCCCGATGTGCCGCGAATAGCGATAGGTGTCTTCTGGACACCCAACGACCTCGAGCGGGATCTGGAGGATTCTCAGGCTGCTAGGGCAGCCGCGGACGCGAGCTTGGATCGACTCCGTGACGAGTTGCGCCTGACTCAAGAGGAGGTGGTAACCAACGACTATGTGGGATCCACCCATGACGGATCCGCCTTAGGGTCGGCGCGTGAAGGGTCCCCCGCGCCGAATCCACCTCCCTCGTCGGCGGATGTAGCCCTGGCTCAACTCTCTGAGGAGTCGCAAGATACCAAGGAGTCGCTCGAGAAAGCGTCTGCCGGACGAGATTATGCGCTCGAAGAGTTCGTGCGTATAACTCAATTGCGCGACGAGATCCAAGCGAAGCTGGCGGACAGCGAGCTCCAGCGGGACAAGGCGGCTACCGAGTGGGCGGAAGCCAAGCGGACGCAAATGGGAACTGGAATCCAAGCTTCGCCACACGAGTACGTGGATCCTCTTTTAGCCCTTCCTAGTAACCCCATATTCACTTGTTATTGTCAATCCAGGTGACAAATTGAAGGAAGCCGATGCAACCGCCGCGAAACTCCAGGATCAACTCGCTGCAGCCCAAACTCAGCAGCAACAGCTGGTCCTGGAGGCGCGATCGTGGCTTATCGGAACGGGACTTGGCACGTCGACGACTGGCGCTGGTGACAGCTGCCGTTTCGGATCCCCTTCCTCCCTTGTCGGGACCCTCTCGTGCTTCCAGCGTCTCTGCCCCTCTTTCGTCTGTAAGTGGGGCGGATCCGTCGGCTGCAAAACGCCCGCGTAGTGCAGCTCCCGCTCCTAGCACCGGATCCCCCCGCCCTCACAAGCATGCCCGAGCCTCCCCAAAGGCCAGATCCAAAACCAGTTCGGTCTCTAAGGCGGCTTCACAGGTGGGACCCACATCCACTCCCAAGGTGGGATCCAAATCCACCTCCAAGACGGGACCCACTCCCACACCCAAGACTTCCGCCTCCCCCTCGAAGTCTGGCGTCGGATCCACGACCGGATCCACCACTACATCCAAGTCGACTTCAGTGTCCACGACGGGATCTACGGCGTCCAAGACCGGATCCGGACCCACTTCCGGATCGACTGCCAAGGCGGGATCGACGGCGTCCAAATCTGTATCGACTGCCAAGGCCGGATCCGGTGCTGAATCCAAGTCGGGATCGGCGCCCAAAACTGGATCCACAGCTATCGCTGCCCTACGACGGGGTTAGCCCCATCCATGGCTAAGTCCGGACAGTCTCAGTCGGGATCAACCGCTGGCCCTTCGGTGACGACGCCTGCCGTTCTCCGGCCAGCTTCCACCGGCCATCCGCCAGCCCATACTGTGTCCGGAAAGGGGAAAGCCAAACGTGTCATTCCCCCGGGATGTGGACTTGGCAGTTCGGAGGACGACGAGGATGAGGAGTCAGACTGGTCCGACGGCTCAGGTCCTCCTAACCGATCGTCGTCGAAGCGTACGTCGTCCTCCGGCCCGTATCCCTTCACTCTGGGCGATGAGGACGATGACAACGACGAGGACGATGAGAGTCCGGAGGATTCGGAGGAGGCTCGAGCTGCTGAGGATGCCTTGGAGGAAGACACTCGACGGGCTCTGTCCCAATCCCGATCCGAAGCCCCGCGGAGATCCCTCTCGACACCGCCTCCGCAAGTCGCTGGTACAGCCGGATCCGGAGGCGGCACTGCGGGATCTGCGATCCAAGTCGACCGTGGTGGTGGATCGGGTGACAGTGATGGTGGATCGGGTAGCGATGGTGGAAGGGGGTCGCCTCGTGGTGGCGGACTCCTTGGATCTGGCGGAGGGGGGTCGCCTGGTGGCGGGTCCCCCGGATCTGGTGGAGGGGGGTCACCTCATGGTGGCGGTTCCCCAGGATCGCCTCATGGTGGCGGATCCCCGGGATCGTCTCACGGTGGCGGATCCCCTGGATCTGTCTTGATCCCCGCTCCCCCCAACTCGTCCCTGCCAGGGATGCTCCCCGTGGCCCCGTTTGGTCCGGATGCCGCCTTTATTCCTGGTAGACGTGCTCCCGTGGCCTTCGCTACCAGAGACATCGAGCCTTGGTCCGCCAAGAAGTTGAACCGGCTCGCGGTCATCTCAATGAAGATCAAGGTCCTGTTCCCTGAGTTGCCTTTTCGAGCTGAATGAATATTCCCTCGGGAAGCGGATGTAATCCCGACGGCCGGATACGTGGATTCGCTCATCACTCGACCTCACGTGGAAGAATTGATAAATGCTGCCCCGTGGGATACGCTGGTCACCACACCGGTGGATCCAGTTAGCTTCAGGGGTGATGTGCGTGGGCGACTCGGGGTATTCGTTTGTGCGCTTCGGGATTTCGTCTTCAAGCACCGGGTTGCCATATGGGAAGGCACTCACCGATTCCCCATCTCTCGTAATCAGCTGCAGGGTTCGACTTGGTTGTCCAACTTCAACAAGCAGCGTGGTAACCGACGTAGCCATGCTGGTCGAGCTTGGAAGAAAGTTCTCGTGATCCTCGTGTTGGCGATCCAGGACGGTTGGTGTGACGTGGATGTTTTGTTGGATCCATCCTTCTTGCATCTCCC